TACACAAGAAAAGTTGGCTCAAAGTAAAGTAATCACATATAAAAGTTGGCTCAAAGTAACTTCATCATGCAAACGTCTGTTTCAAACAAATTGGCAGAGAGAAAAATCTCCCAAAGTATTTCAAATAACGGGTGTGCTCTATATTCAAATATATATATATATATATATATATATAGATTGGGCACGAGCTCCGTGGAAGGAAGAGCGCGGTGGACGCGTCTTTTGAATTTGTAACGTGGCGTGGGGTCCTTTAATCAGCGCCGTTGATGTTAAAGAAACAAAAGAGAAACAATCCAACAGTGACAAAACAAACAACATAATCATGCATTATCATACAAAATCAAAACAAACAAAGTTATGATTCGAAACCCACCTCACCTTATTTGTCTTCAACAAAGAGGCGCCCACAGGAGCAATGGAAACAAACCCAGAATGTGACTTGTGCTATGAAACTTATATATACAAAGAGTGATGGGTTGTTGCTGAATAGTAAGAGGGAGTGTTAAAGGTTAAGACTTTGGAAAGAAAAAGCAGAAAAGCACAAGCAAGAGCAGATCTGAGAATGAGGGAAACCGAGAAAGAGATAGAAAGAGGTAGTGGAGAATCTGTATCTGGGTGGTACATAAAAGACGAAGGGAATGGATGGTGAGGAAGGGTCTTTGCTGAATTTAGCGGAATTTCTTTGGCTGGCGTTTTGGCTTTTTGTCTATTCGCTCCTACCGGTAATGCCGTTTTCCCAGTTCTATTTGAACTCTTTCGATATTTTGCTTCCTTCCTGCTATTATTCCTTACTTAACTCTCTTTCTCCAATCTTTCCCTTCCCAAAAGAAACAAAAAAAAAAAAAGGAAAATAAATAAGAAAATAAACTGAAATATCTCCTCCAGATAATATTGTTGTTTTTTTTTTTTCAGAAAAAAAAAACATTTCATTGAAACGACACAATTCAGAATACAAGTGAAAAAAAACTGGGTGTCGGTGATGCAACAAGTGTGGCCTCCTAATATTATTGTAATTAAGATTGCCTTTTATTTTTTACCAATTTTTTTTTTTCCTTTTATTTATATATATAAAGCAAAAGAAAGAGAATGGTGAAACATTTAAAATACCAGAAAATGCAATTGATTAATTCAAATATTAAAAAATAAAATTATTAATTAAATAAGGATAATATAATAAATTCATTTTTTTTCATATTAAAAAATTTTAAAATTAAAATTAAAAACAAAATCAGAGAATAGAATATAAAATATAACTACCAATATTATTATTTTTTAATTTTAAAAATAAAATAAAACCAATTAGTACATGCTTTAAGTGTATGAAAATATAAAATATAACCCAAATATAAACACGTGCCCAACCACTCCGCCTCCACACCAAATATTTTGCACAGATATATTTATATATATAGTGTACAGTAACAAGTCTTCTCATAGGTGCTTTATCACACAACCCGAGATGTCGTCTTTTTAGGGTTATATTTCATAGCTGGTCCAGCTGGTCCTCCAGCTTGTTCACCTTCTGCTTCAGAGACTCCTCCAGCTTGTTCATCTCTTGCATCTCGATGCCGTTCGCCTTCAGAGACTCCTCCAGCTTGTTCACCTTCTGCTTCAGGACAGCCACGTCCGAGTCGAGCGTAAAAGACTGCAAAGCAGCCCTAGCAGCGCCAGCTGGTCCAGCATGAACCACAGTAAATATTGCCTTCACGGTGCCTACAGCGGCATCCTCAGTACTATACCCATCTCTCGCCCTCTCCAATGTTCTTCTGGTCACTGGGGGTTTGCTGAAAAAGCGTTTAAAAAAAGACGACATCTCGGGTTGTGTGATAAAGCACCTATGAGAAGACTTGATTAGTTAGGGTTTAGATTCGATTTAGGATTTATATGGACTGAGGAGCAAGATCCTTTTTGTGTAATGCTATGGACTATTTTTTCAATTAAGTAATAGCCACTTGGATATTTTGATTCGTTTGGTGTTCTGCAAATGTTTGATTCATCAGTTTTATGTGGGTTTTTCGGGGCAACGTTGTGCAGTTTTATGCAGTTTTGTGCAGTTTTGTGCATTTTCGTGCAGGAAATTGCAGATCGGAGCAACGTTCGGAGCTTCTGGGCTGCTACACCCGCTACGACAAATTACCAGAGAAGTTATTCACCGAGCCCAGCAGTCAGCGGTGAGGTCATGAAGAGGAGTGTGGTTTCCAAAAAGGGTCCATGCTGGTCGGCGCTAAAGCTCACTGGGATGGCGACGTGGGGTAAGCGCCGGATGAGCCTTCACCGAGCTCTGGCACTGACGAACAAGAAGAGAAGGGGAAGGAGCTAACAGAGCTAGAGGACAATGGTGATGGTTTCTATGTGGGTGATGAGGAGGAAAAATATGGTGAGAAAGCAATAACTGTGATAGAGGAAGATGATGATATTCAAGAAGAAGATGTGAAAACAGAGGACGAGGCTCCTCCTGTTGTGCCCTGGAAGATGAACCTTAGGAGTAAGAAGAGGAAGCGCCAAGATCACCATAGAAAGCCCAAGAAAACCACAAAGAAATCAAAATCTATAGCAAAACGTCAGAAGCAGAACCAAGTGGTAGCAGTACCCCGATCGGAGTAACAAGAAATTGGTAAAACACACAGTGGCAAGATGGTCTGCAGGGAGGTGAGGACTCTGTTCTTAATTAGTTATAACTGTTAGTTATTTTGATCTGCGTTAAGAAGTAGGGTTCATGTTTTGATTTGGGTTTAAGGTACAAGGCTGCAGAGGAAAGCGTGACGAAGGCCAAGGGTGCTAAATTCGGGACCCCAATACTGAGGCCAGCGCTGAGGTCTGAGGCAAGGAAGCTGATTGGGGATACGGGTTTGTTGGACCATTTGCTCAAACACATGGCGGCCAAGGTGGCGCCAGGTGGAGCCCAGAGGTTTAGGCGGCGGCACAATGCTGATGGAGCCATGGAGTATTGGCTGGAGAGTGCTGATCTGTTTAATATCAGAAAGCGAGCTGATGGAGCCATGGGGTATCTAGCTCTCTGCTTTTCTTCTTTTTCTTTTGGCAAATTAATCTAGCTCTCTGTTTAAGCTGGTTGTTGTATATTTCTTGGTGGATATACAGGGTGCTTCTTCATGTGTCCAAGAATAAAGAGGATAATCTAGCTCTAGTGACCACGTCAAATTCCTGTTTGACAAGTCTTGACTGGGAACATGATGGTTCATTAATCCACCAAAAGGTGAACCTTTCAATTTGGACATTTCATTTTAATTTGTTTATATTGATTATGGCTGCTTTAATTAACTGCTACTAATTGTTCGATTCGATGGGGTTTTGCAGGAGTATGCATGCAGTGCTGCTAACAATGGAGCAAAATAAGATTAGAGAAAAACTTAGGGAAATGTCTCAATTTCTGTCTGTAATGGAGGTACACCAGATGAAGATATTAATTAATTATCCCCTTGTATCTTAATTGCACACACTTAATGTGATCTAAACATATAATTAATCACTTTTGTACTGCGGCCAGTATATTGGTCACTTTCAATTATTTATCAACTTTGGCTGCTTTAAATATAATATTATGTTCAAAAAGTTTGGACCTTTTAATTTTTATTAATTTGTTTCATGGTTCAACTTGATTATGGCTGCTTTAAATAATATTAAGTGCTACGTACTAATTGTCGTTTGTTGGGATTTTGCAGGAGGAGCATGCAGAGCAAATCGTTAAGAAAACTAAGATGGAAGAACAACTAATGGATGTTTCTCAATCTTTATCTGAAATGAAGGTAGGATGATATAAATTGGCCCCCTGGTTATCTTAATTTGATATGTCTTAAGTTCATTGAATGTGATATGAATATATAATTAAGAATCACTTCTTACTGCCTTCCAGTATAATGATCACTTTCATGTCCAATTATTCATTAATTTACACAATAAAATTGGTCTGTTTCATGTTAATTTAGTATGTAGTAGAAGCATGTATGCATGTTATAGCATTTGATGGATATGGAGGTTAAAATATCAATGCAGGAACAAATTGGGCAGGGAAGAACCACTTAAGTATCTCCGATGCACCACCGCCATCAGACACTGGTCAAAGAGCAGTGACAAAATCAAAGGGTGGGGAGCAAGAAGAAGAAGAAGATAAGCTTGGAGGAGGAGACAATAATGCAGCCAGCAGCCAGCAGCCAGCAGCCACAGCAACTCACGAGGACAAGGCAACCAAAATACAGAGACTGAGGAGTGGTTTCAGGATATGCAGGCCACAAGGGTCCTTTCTGTGGCCAAACATGGGCATCTCTACCCCCCCTCAGCCACCCACCTCATCATACCTATACCTCCTTAGCCTCAGCCTGGATCTCCTGTCAAGCCTGTAGCCTAGCTATAAACCCTCTGCCTCTCCTCCTATTTTTGTTCCACCTGGTCCCCCCTCCAAGTCCAAGAGAAGTGTCACCGTCACCAACACCCTCCTCATCAACCTTAATGAGCTCCCCAACCCTAACCCTAGTATAACCTCCAAAACGCCTCTGAAACTAGCACTGCATTGTCTAGGACCCTCACCTACCAGAGAAGACACCATCATCAGCAATATCCACGTGTGAGGTAGGATGATATAAATTTGCTGCTTTAAATATAATATTATGATAAAAAAGTTTGGACCTTTTAATTTGTATTAACTTGTTTCATGGTTCAACTTGATTATGGTTGCTTTAAATAATATTTAGTGTGTCGTTTGTTGGGATTTTGCAGGAGGAGCATGAAGAGCAAATCGTTAAGAAAACTAAGATGGAAGAACAACTAATGGTTGTTTCTCAATCTTTGTCTGAAATGTAGGTAGGATGATAAATATTGGCCCCCTAGTTATCTTAATTTGATATGTCTTAAGTTCATTAAATGTGATATGAATATATAATTAATCACTTCTTGCTGCCTTCCAGTATAATGATCACTTTCATGTCCAATTATTCATTAATTTACACAATAAAATTGGTCTCTTTCATGTTAATTTAGTATGTAGTAGAAGCATGTATGCATGGTATATCATTTATTGTCGCACTTGATTGTGGCTGCTTTAATTAACTGCTACTAATTGTTTGATTTGATGGGGTTTTGCAGGAGTATGCAGTGCTGCTAACAATGGAGCAAGATAATATTAGAGAACAACCTAGGGAACTGTTTCAATTTCTGTCTGTAACGGAGGTACACCATTAATTATCCCCCTTATATCTTCATTTGATTTGTCTTAATTGCACACTTAATGTGATCTAAACATATAATTAATTACTTTTTTTACTGCTTCCACTATATTGGTCACTTTCAATTATTCATTTACCCAAAAGAAAAATGACCACTTGTATATTAGTGCAGGAACAACTTGGAATTCTGAAACCAGTAAGTATCTCAGAAGCACTAGAAGCACCACCGCCATCAGATATTGATCAAAGAGAAGAGACAAACTCAAAGGGTGGGGAGCAAGAAGAAGAAGATAAGTTAATGTTTTCCTTTGAACTGTTTTAACTACATCAGGTTGTGGTGGGGAGTTTTCTACCAGGTCACCAGCATGGGCATCTCTACCCCACCCTCAGCCACCCACCTCATCCCTATACCTCCTTAGCCTCAGCCTGGGTCTCCTGTGCAATGTGAGCTATAAACCCTCTGCCTCTCCTCCTATTTTTCTTCCACCTGGGCCCCCCTCCAAGTCCAAGAGAAGTGTCACCGTCACCAACACCCTCCTCATCAACCTTAATGAGCTCCCCAACCCTAACCCTAGTATAACCTCCAAAACGCCTCTGAAACTAGCACTGCATTGTCTAACACCCTTCATCCACTTGGAATTGGTGCTGCAACATTGCCCGACATCTAGAAAGCTTTCCCATGATTATTGTTTCTTTGTTTGTTGTAGTGTTTTTCAAGGATGGGGTTATGAGATTTTTTTTTTCTTTGAGGAAGGGATATTCTATTGTTAAATTCCATAGATTTAATGGTCTATTTGTTATGGTTTTTTTTTCAATTTATTTATTTGTTCATTTTAAATAATCAAATTGCTTTGATTTTATTTCTTGATCAAATACAATATAAAGTTGATGATATTATCGAAAGATATAACGGGGATAGAAACGTAATTTTATCGTCTATTTTTGTGCAAAGAAGAAAAGGCGGGGTTGTGGGGGTGTGTTGCCACTAAGCGTCCAAACTGCCACTTTCCTAATAGTGGCACAAAAGTTCCAGTGTTTCTTATTTACAATTACAGGATCAATTCACAAGGATATCATTAAATCAGGCTCCTTTAATTTCATCATCTTTGAGGCTTGACGGTCCCACTCAATCCTAATCCTAATAAAGTTGATCATCTAACGGCTGACCTTAATTCATTGGTAACACTAGCATCCTTGAGATGAGCCATGCAAACCCAAGTATATTTATATGCTACACATCAAAAACTCAAATTCAAAATATCCTTCTCAAGAATTTCATTTTTGCAAGAAACCCAGATGAGAACATCGATGGAAAAGTATATGTTGTGGAGAATTTGGAGTGAAGAAAATTACTGATCAGACTTTGTTCAAAAATGGAGAGGCCAAATGCATAGATGGGTTAACAAGCTTAGACCCAACTTGAAGACGTAAGCCCTCATAATTTATGTTAGCAAACACTAATTGTTATTTATTTGTTTACATGCAACGTGCAGTTTTGGTTTTTATTTTATTTTATTTTAGCATGTTTTCTTTGTTGGTTCTTGGTGGGTTTTGGACAATTTTTTTTGTTGTGTTTTTGTAACATTCTTGCTTAAGATTGATGCTAACGATATGAAAAATGTGAACTTCACTACAAAGTGGAAGCAAGTTTTCAGCAGAGGAAGAGAGGATGGTGATACAACTGCAAGCACAATTCGGGAACAAGTGGACGAAAATCGCAACGTAGTTGCCAGGGAGAACAGACAACGATGTGAAAAATTTCTGGAGCACGAGACGGAAGCGGTTCGAGAGGATTTTGCAGAAATCAACATCATTAGAGTCCCAGAACAACAAGGGAAGAGCCCTCTTGTCCATCATGAATTACCAGAGGTTAAGGTAGCAATTAATGCTGTCAAACTTTGTAGACAGATTGTTTATCGAGTGTGTTCCATTTACAATTTTTTGATTTTCAGGTTCCTCCTGATCCATGCAGTTCTGCTATTGAGGAGGGCACAGCATGCTGCAACTATGAAACCCACAATTGCTTTTCAAATTCTCAAGAGTTCAGAATGGTGCCCCTGCCAGATTTGGTAAAACCGAACCTGCAAAATGCGGAAGCAGAGCAGCCAATACTTGAGGCCACGCCCCTTAATATGATCTCGCCGATTGATTCCCCACCACACTACTCTGTCTCAGCTCCCTCAGCCCAACTGGACCTTCCATTTTTGTCAGAATGCAAGGAACTTGACCAGGACCTTATGGCTCCCGACTCGTTGGACATGTTTGGGCAGGAGGAGAATGCTGCAAGTACCAAGCTAGGAGAAGTAAAAGACCTTTCGATCCCCAACATTGTTTTCGATGATTTCCCACCCGAGATGATCTTGAAACACTTAAAAGCTCGTCGGAGTTACAAGTTCTTGGGAGCTTGTCTTGTGTAACTACTACTATTTGGTATGTTGGTGACTTTGCTTTAAGAAAGGGAACTATTGCTGATTTACTGGGACACAAATACCCAACAGACATGCAGATCCTTTTTCTTCAATAAATATATTTTTTTTTTTAATTGTTGAATATCCAAAAAGTTACTTCTTTGTACAATGTGCTAGTCGAACACAGACCTAGTCTATACTGCCAGCTAAAACCACCGTAAACTCAGTATAAACTGATATTATTAAGAAATTTACATAGTCCAATGGTGATGTACAAACAACTCCTAAAGTAAAAAATAATGCAAAAACCAATCACAAGTCCAATTTGGATTAAAACCTATTTGTTTCCTATAATTTGTCTAACACAGGAATAATTTGCTAAGGAAAAAACAAATGGTGCTATTTTCTTTCTTTCTACAATTCAGTTCTTCTTCAAACAATCAGCCCATGTATTTTGACCTACTGATATGATTTACACATTCATATGGTTAGAGGGAGTAATAGAAAACTTTATATGTAACTTTAGCTTTAGGCTTTTCTTTTTTCAGTGAAACTTTGGCATTGTTGAACTTCAACTAAAAAGAACGAATAAAGATCACTATTTTCATCAATCAAATGTAGAAACAACAAAGATCTCACTGTTCCATTTCTTCGCCTTTTTTTTTCTCTCTCTCTCTCGCATATAACATTTGAAAAAGTGTAGTTAAAAGACATCAAAGGCATCAAATGTCAGCATAAGTATATTGAGATTCATTCCAGTTCTCATCATCTCTGCATTTGAATGGAGTCCAATTGAATCTTGTATTTATGAGAATGAACCACTCACCAGAAAGCATGTCCCAAGCACTATAAGTTGGCTCCGGATCCAAGTTCTCCTTGGAAGGACCTTTTGATGGTTCACTCCAATATTTCCTATATAGGTCTGGCGTCTTGCCCTTCTGCCAAATTAGAACAGGGGCCATCTCCATTGCCAAATTAGAACAGGGGCCATCTCCATTGCAAGGCTTTGGGTGTCCATCTGTATAAAGTTATCAACTATTTAGCATGCTTACCAAATATCCGGCTATGAATAACCAATCCATGTCTATAACACAGAAAAAGCGAGAGAGAGAGAGAGAGAGAGAGAGAGAGAGTTTCCTGCCTTGTTAAGAACCGACTTCTGGCTAACGCGGAGCAGTAGTGCAGTAATAAATTCTAGGGTCGTGTAGTTTACAGTTGGAAGCCTCCTCAGCATGTTTCTCATCGCATGTATGCTGGAACGAGCGCCTTTGATCTCATTATAAAGCTCAAATGTGGTTAGTGGCTCGGGAAGGGTGCTACGTCAATTGGATTTATTCCCTCTGGTAATGATGCATTTGAATCTGATATACGCAATATTACAACATTAGATTAATGTCGTCCAAATTGAACAGCTCAGAAAACTTTGTTCAAAAGACAGAAATAAAAAGAAAACACAAACACACACAGATATGTCAGATACCTTGGTTGTACAGTGAAACCAATTGTTGAATGACTTTTTTATCTCCCTCCCCTTTAAATAGGTATGGTGTGTTTCAGTCCTAGAAGCCACAAACAATCCAGAACAAGTTAATCATGCCTGAAATAAATGTATACAGATCAGAGAAGTGTAGATTAGATTGCAGCACCTGAAAATATGAGGAATGGCCCTGCTAGATTGTTGCCGTTGCACAGTAACTTTAATTGGAACTCCAAAAACTGAAAATAAACGTTCAATTAGTGCAAATGAAAATTAAACTTACGATCACTATCCATTCCAGGATTAAAAGCGACCACCATCCTAGTATACAGAGCTTGATCATTAACGCACAAACCATACGGAGATGTAGAGGACCCACATTTTCACCATTCTTCAAACAATGGGAACTAATGAAGTTTATGATTATACAAAATCCACCTTACAGCTATGCATATGTACAAAGTCCAGAAGGAACCCTGTGTGACTTACCATCAGTGCTTGCAACACCCTGAAAATGAATAAACAAGAATAAGAATTTTCAAATGTCTATAGAAAAAGAAGAAAAGAATGGTAACAATTTTTGCTCTTTTGGGCAGTCTTCTTTGCCACCTGAAAGAAAAGACACCATTTCAAGTGTTTCAGTTATCATCTGAACTTCAGAATCATGCCTATTTTATGGATGATACAAGCTCATATTGTCAAGCTCTAGACAAAATCCAAATCAGCATTTACAGAAGTAAGAATTTATCGTCGAAACCATTCAACGTTAGCATGAGATGTTGTAGGTTTTAACTTTCATAATAACTGGAAATCTGTACAAGCCTTAAGTTGGATATGAATCACTTTCACTTATTAAAGTTCTAGCAAATCTACCCCTTCAACTTTTATCTTCCCAACAGAAACCTTGTCTTTTGTCTCTGATAAGCCCTTCCTAAACAATGTCCCGGTCGTAGCAGCAGCAGTTATAAGGCGTTCCTGCACAGCATGTCTTGTCGATGGTTGCTGAAGAAGTGCCCGCCGACTTTTGAACATTGACCCTACACGTTCTGCCATATCAGTTACGTGAACTTTTGCATCTTTAGTGACCTCTTCAACAAATGTTCCAGCAGATTGTCCAGCCTCTTTAAGCTTCACCCCTTCATTAAGACTTAGCTATAGTTAAACAACACTTTTAAAAATAAAAAAAAAGAAGAGCAAACAAGAGAAACTGTGTAATCAAAAGGTACCTGAGGTAGAAAAGAAACCACTAGCCTTCTCTTGCCACCGGGGTGACGTTGCAGAAGGCATTGAAGCAGTTGAACTAACCAGAATTAAATTAGCCTGTTTTAAAGGAAAGCAGTATAAAAAAATGTCAAAGAAGGCTGAAAACTTAGTTTGTGGAGGTTCTACTAATTTAAGGGGAAAAAAATTACAAAAGGCTCAGTATGTTTTCAGCCTTTGGTTACAAAAAAACTAAGGAAAGGAACCAGCTTTGGATGCTAAGGAAATGAAAGAAGATCAAACTCCCTCCCAAAAAAAAACAATCAAGGTCTTTCTCTTCTTGTTGCTAAAAAGTAAAAAATTTAAGCTTTCATTGTCACCGGATAAAGATTTAGGTCCTCTTTCTTTTGGTAAATAGATTTAATTCCTCTTTCAACAACAGTCCAATTCTCAAACCCTACTTCCTTTTGGGTACAAATACAAATAGCCCAAATCAATATCAATCGCAGCCTGATCAAACATGGAACTAGACAAAAAGAAACGAACAGTACTAATACCGTAATACTTGAAGATAAGTTAGTTTCCAATATTCAAAAACAAACGAAACCCTAATTTTAAACTAATAACGAATTCATAAAAAAATATTACCTCTTTTGGAATTGCTGATCAAGGAAGCTGGAAGCGAAACGCAAAACAAGCTGAAACGTGAAAATTGAAATTGAAAAATAAAAATCCCTTTTTTTTTTAAAGAAATACAGAGAGAGAGAGAGAGAGAGAGAGAGAGAGAGTCATCCAATTTAGGAAATTCAAAATAAGGCGCTTCTCTGCGATTGGCTGGGCTGTCAGTCGGGTAAACCCGCCAATAGTCTCCCGCCACGTCAGCGCTCACCTGAGAAAACGCGTACCAGGATTCTGGAGGGTACTTCAACATTCAAACATCATTTGGAGTTATTTATGTACTAAACAAGTACACCAAGTGACTAGTGAGGTATCCATGTCTCATCTATAAATCAGATCTAATCAACACAAATGTAAAAAGTTCAAGATGAAGTAACAAGTACACCAATGTGATTAGGATTATAGAGCTTCTCCAGGATCTGCCAATTGTCAATGTGAAACAACATTAAAACATCATTTAGAGTTATTTATGTACTAAAGAAGTACACAAGTGAGTAGTGAGGTATCCATGTCTCGTTTATGAATTTTATCCTCGCAGAAATTAGATCCAATCAACACAAATGTAAAAAGTTCAGGATTAAGTGACTTGTGCACAACAAGAGTTTTACCTCGATTGAGGCTTTACAGTGTTCCATTGCAGGTTGCAACTCTCCAACGAAACAAAACACCTGTGCAAGATTGTCTTCCGCCTGCAAAGATCAAAATCATTTAAGTCAAGTGTGATCTAATTCAGTGTCATATGTGCCAAAATCATTGAACACTTTCTACGTTGTTCAATAACAGCAACTTAGATATTGGCATCTAGTACTTACAAATTGCACATTCAAATGATATAAATTCTATTGTGTAATACCCACTGTTCTTGCCTGGAAGAAATTGATTAATACCCACTCTTGCGGGGGTTTTTGTAAAATTTTCTTTAATAAATAGTATAGCCGCACGGCTATACTGTATTGTTGACCTTTTGCCTTGGTTTTACGAATAGCACTCTCGAAAACATATGTTGCTATTTTTGTTTACTGTATTGTTGACCTTTTGTCTTGGTTTTACGAATAGCACTCTCGAAAACATATGTTGCTATTTTTGTTTTAAAAAAAATATGCGACTATACTCTTTGAAGATAATAAATTTCAAGGGTATAGCCGGTCGGCTATATTGGATATTTTTAAAATTTCTTTGAAAAGTAGTATAGCTGGACGGCTATACTATTAAAATACATTGGGTACTTGGGGGTTGGGCCATGCTAGGTAATTGGAAATTGGCCCACACAAGGTAATTGGGAGTTAGGCCAAGTAAAAGCCAATTGAGCTTCAAATTCAACTTGGGCATTGAGTGTATAATACATAATATTTAATTATCAAAAAGATGGTCTTGGGCCTTGGGGCACTTGGACATTTAAGATTTAAATTAATTATTTAGTTTAGAAATAATATTTTTTTTAATATAATTAATTAATTCGGATTAGTTTAATTAATTTTAGTGGGGGCCTATTTTGTTATTATTTTTATTTCTAATAATAAATAGTACAATATATTGCCGTTTAATAATCGTGTTATACACGTACATGTGTACTTTACAACAATACTTCTATTTTCCGTATACAAGGAAAACGTACAATATACGTATGTGCGGATTTTCCATGTTTAATACACGTGTTTTTACACAATTGTCAACAATACACACTAAATTCACACAATTTTACATATTATTGAATAAAAATAATATATATTGAAATATTATATAGTGGCCAAACTTTATGATCACTCATATGCTTGATAGTAAGGTAAGTTAGCCTAAGATAGACGGGATGATGGGATGTTTATGACTAAACCATTGGTTTCTTGTGATCATCCCCTATTCTGAACTCAGAAGTCTGGTTGACAATTTGGTTCTTTCTGGTTTTGGTGGCTATCGTACAACTTGCTTCTTTACTACGCATGAGGAGAGTCAAGTCGTCATTAATGGTGATAACCCTCTTCAGTCTCTCACGTGGGGCAATTTTGTAACGGTTCCCGATCCCTTTTTAACTTTGAGTGAGACTCAGACTTTTGGGCTTTATTGACATTTTGGGCTTTGATCAATTTCTTTCTATCTTGATGGCCTTTTAAGCATAGACAAATCTTTTTCACAAATAGAAACAAAAAGAGTGATGGGCTTGGGCTTATGAACATATTCTTTTGAGGAGCAAACCATTTTTGGTATGTTTACCAAAATAGGGTACAAATATTGCCCTCTGGTTTTAATGGGCTTGGGTCAAGTCTATTAAAATTAGACCCTTCAGCTTCTCGTGATGTCAAATTGCACAAAAAGAATATTTTCTAAAGTAACGCGACAAACTGACAGTAGCAACTGTCCTATTCGACCTGCTAAAAGGAAAAGAAAAAACTTCCCAGCTTCTTATTTTCGAACTTCTTCTTCCTGAGAAAACTGACACTCAAACTTTCCTCTGCTTCCTAGTACCGTCGTTGTTTTCACATTTCTCAAACCTTTTCCATGGCTCCGAAAAAATCGAAAACCACCAAAGTTTCCACTGGTATTCCTGAATGGATTTCTAAGCAAAATGCGACGAAACATGCCGGTCAGTTTCAATCGGTCTTGGCTCAAGAACGGTCTTCGCGGTGCTTTCTTTCTGCCTCCTGAAGTTCTCTTTCAGCATCCTCCTCTTCTTCAATCTGATCAAGACTATCAAACTCCTTGGTTGCAGCCATTGCTTTCACAACCGGATCTCTCAGCTCGGCTATCAGTCCACCACCAACTTTGGACTCTTCTTCATCACCAATCAGAAATAAGCGCTGGTCAGGCCCTGATGCCATGGGAATGTCAACTGCCAGTAGCTTTATATCATACTGCATAAGAAGATGGCACCCAAATGCTTCAATAAGAAAAACTTGACCGTCCAAGTACCCCCCAACCCAAGTCATAAAATAAACAATATACAGGTTTTCAACAATCCATCTACTAACTGACTAATGTAAAGCATCAATATGGGGCAGAGCATGCACTCAATCTGCTTCGCTTGAGAGGCACACATGCTGTGGAGGAAGCTTTTACCAGAAGAATCACAGTAGCAGATACAAACACTGCAGTATACGTTTACCAATACAACATTCTTGTGATGTACATTTCTCTACACTATCAACCGGGGCATGAAACTAGTTTAGTTTCAACTTCCATCTGATTCCATTGTCACAAGTACGAGAAGGTATAAAGGCACAGCCGGCCCACATACATCCTAAATGAAGTGATGTTCAATTCTTATTACACCTATATGTGTTTTCTCAGTACGCTTCTGAACTATTGGAATCTAAAACAAATCAAATCCTAAAGCCGTGCATATCCACCATTTGAGTCGTGGATGCCAATTTCAGAAACAGATAGAGAGGGAAACAAAACTGGCTTGCTTGCAGAGCCTTCTCTTCGCTCCCTACGATAAGAGATATTATGGGACTATTTATGGGGATTCCAATGAGAGCACGAAGGTCTTGCACCCGATTCCAAATTTCCCTTCTACGCCATGTTTCCTTTCTTGCTACAATAAGAGCAGCTGCATGGTTATATTTGTATTGTTAACAAAGGGAATAACTTCAATAAAGATAAGAAAGTAAATGCTATAATCATGGCATGTGAATAATGCACAGCATTTTCATTTCATATTTGCTAACTACTATAAACCTGCATTTACAAATTACAATATATGCTATAATGATGATTTCTAAGCCGCAGCAGCCTGAGGACTCTCTCTATTATTATAATAATAATCATCATTGCATTTCCCTGATACACCCTAGTCGCTAGTCTACACTAGCCTGCTATCCTGCTTTTAATTTTATTTTATTTACAAAAATCAGACTGGCGCTCTGCCCTCTCCTCTCCTTTTTCTTGGCCCCCAATCCCTCACTGAACTTAAAGATCACACCCTAGTTCGTCTGCACTAACTGCAGACACTACATCCAAACTAAGATAACTAAATTAGCAATTTTCTTAAGTAAACTTTATCAACAAGGACAAAAGTGAGATGGAAAAGGACAAGGGAAAAGGGGGGCATAACTGCTGAATTACTTGTCCTTACACAAGAAAAGTTGGCTCAAAATAAAGTAATTCACATATAAAATGGCAAATAACATCATGCAGACGTCTGAATCAAACAAATTGGCAGAGAGAAAAATCTCCTAAAGTATTTCAAATAACGGGTGTGCTCTATATTCAAATATATATATATATATATATATATATAGATTGGGCACGAGCTCCGTGGAAGGAAGAGCGCGGTGGACGCGTCTTTTGAATTTGTAACGTGGCGTGGGGTCCTTTAATCAGAGCCGTTGATGTTAATGACCTTTGGTCAGAATCAGATCGAGGGTGTTGGATGTTTTAATCGTGGTCGGCTTCATGACTTTTGGTACTCGTGGAAAGTGCATGCTGTTCGAGAATTGACACATCAGCAGAGCTGGCTTGGGCTTTACAAATCCACGTAGACAGAGTCAATCCACCTGTATTTTGGATGTAGTGTCTCCAGTTAGTGCAGACGAACTAGGGTGTGATTTTTAAGTCCAGTGAGGGATTGGGGGCCAAGAAAAAGGAGGAGAGGGCAGAGCGTCAGTCTTATTTTTGTAAATAAAATAAAATTAAAAGCAGGATGTTAGTGTAGACTAGCGACTATGGTGTATCAGGGAAATACAATGATGATTTCTAAGCCGCAACAGCCTGACAAGGACTCTCTCTATTATAATAATGTTTCAAGTGTGGCACTTCAGGTAATACTTTGTTATGCATTGTCAATGTTTTGTTAGAATCAAATGCGGAATTCAGTGGATGAGTCTGACCAGGAACAAAAGATCAAGTGAATGTTGTTGGCACTTGTTCAGCCATTTAAGCAAAGTTCCATTAAAACTCAAGTTGGATAATATAAAAAAGTACATCATATTATAGCAGCATCAGTCGTCTATGTGAAATGAACCGGCAACGCGGTCAGCCATTCTTTGACTTTTTTTTTTTTTTTTCTTTTTGTGATTATCTTCCTCTAAAATTGGAACTTTATAATTTTATAATACACAAACTATAGGCGTTTGGTGTGCATAAAGAAACACATGTGAAATGAATTCAAATATCCTTCTCAGGGGAAGATTTCTATCTCAAGTTCGGTAACACTGAGAAAGGACTATAAATATCGTTTTATTTGTTTTCTTGTGTTTGGTTTGTGCAGGAAATGAAAACATAATGTGTATTGATTTTCAATTATACCCTAAATTAGAAATATGCAAAAGGTAACATAATGGTATGGCTTGTTCTTAATCTGCCTATAACACCTTGCAGGCCCTACAACAATAACAGAGCATCCAAAAAATCATCATAAAAACATGATTATATCAAACTTACAGACAATAATGAATTCACTTTGCCAAATTCAACAATTGAAATTAGAATCTGAATAAAATATATATCAAACTTATACAACATTGACAACGACATTTGCTAAGATTGCCACAACAATTGGCTTGGGCCAAAAAAAGGTTCCAAAATAAACAACTCACAAAAACAATTGGGTCTTAAAAATTACATTTGTGCAACGGTTAAGATGTCCTCAACGTTTAAATTCCAATACCAACGTTAGAAAATAAATCGATAACATACAAGCAAATCCCATTTCTGTATCAAAAATAGCTTGGATAAAAAACACAGAAACGATTCTTTTGACAACGAAATTCATCTCGCGCCAATAAAACGGTAAACGCAATCAGATCTTTAAACAAAAAATTAGATAGATACATGTATAATACATCAATGGGCGAAGAACGAAGAAATAAATGAGGGAAAAATAAGATGAATGCAAGAGAGAGTCACTCACTCCTCCCCATGGCGAGCTCCTGATTCTCCTCCTCCTGTTTGCGCTTCCGGTAAGAAACCCACGCCAGAACCCTATTGCGGGCTTTTTGTACTCGGTGCTCCATACATTTCAGTTCGGGTCGACCCAGGTTCAATTTTTTTTTTTCCTTCACGTCGGGCTGTCTACTCATCTGGCGTGCTGGCTGGCTTGGCTTTGCGACACGTGTCAACTAAATCAGACGTGGCGAAATCAGACCATTTTACGGTATTTGCATTTCCTCACTGCTCTCTGTGGACTGTTCAATCAGAAGCCAGAGGTTTCCAGAAGAAAGAGACCATCAAACAACGGAGATGAAAATCCACCACGTTGCTTGCTTAGAGGACAACTACGCATACCTGTGAGCCAAAATCCCTCTTTTCATCTCAATTTCTGATTATCGTTTTTATCAGGGTCTTTCTACTTTCTAGCATAATTAATTTAATTGTAAAATTGTAATTGTTAATGGTGATTATGGCTTGCTGGGTTTGGATTAACAGAATCATTGACGAGAGTACCAAAGAAGCTGCAGCTGTGGATCCAGTTGAGCCTGAAAAGGTTCTTAAAGCAGCTCAAGAACATGGCGTTGATATCAAGCTCGTCCTCACCACTCACCACCACTGGTGTGTAAATGTTTGCACGTTTTCATCAAATTTACCATTCAATCACTTATATTCACACCCGTGTGCTTTATTTCTGCATACCCATTACTCATATTCAACTGCAACATAACATGTCACTGCAAAATTATTATATGTATTATATTTGTTTTGGATATAAGTGCCAGCAAATAGGTACTTGGGGTTCATATCTTACTTGGGTAATAATCTGACAGGCCAAGATTGTATTGAGCATCTTAGTTTGGGTAAATGTAAAGATTAGACTTATGGGTTAGTTGCCTCTGTTTTAAGTGTTTTTGCTGCTGCATTGATGTGGTAGGGATCGCGCTGGTGGAAATGAGAAGATAAAGCAGCTGGTGCCGGGGATTAAGGTATATGGTGGTTCTATTGATAATGTAAAGGGCTGCACTCGGAAGTCTGGTTTCTTGTGATCATCCCCAGTTCTGAACTCGGAAGTCTAGTTGGCAATTTGGTTCTTTCTGGTTTTGGTGGCTATCGTATAGCTTGCTTCTTTGCTAGGCACGAGGAGAGTCAAGTCGTCATTAATGGTGATAACCCTCTTCAGTCTCTCACGTGGGGCAATTTTGTAACGGTTACCGATCCTTTTTAAACTTTGAGTGGGACTCAGACTTTTCGGCTCTATTGAAGGTGTGGGCTTTGATCAATTTCTTTATATCTTGATGGCCTTTTAAGCGTAGGTAAATCTTTTTCCCAAATAGAAACAAAAAGGGTGATGGACTTGGGCTTATGAAAATATTCTTTTGAGGAGCAAACAATTTTTGGTATGTTTACCGAAATTGGGTACAAATATTGCCCTCTGGTTTTAATGGGCTTGGGTCAAGTCTATTAAAATTAGATCCTTCAGCTCCTCGCGATGTCAAATTGCACAAAAAGAATATTTTTGAAAGTAACGCGACAAAACTGACAGTAGCAACTGTCCTCTCATGTCTGGCATTAAATTCGGCCAGCTAAAAGGAAAAGAAAAAACTTCCCAGCTTCTTATTTTCGAACTTCTTTTTCCTGAGAAAACTGACACTCAAACTTTCCCATGCTTCCAAGTACCGTCGTTGTTTTCACATTTCTCAAACCTTTTCGTTAATCCCAAGTTGTGAGTTAACGAAAATTCTCTTTATTTGAGGCCTTTTGGGGTTTGGTTACAATTTCTTTGGTTTCAGACAGAGAGTTAACTTGACAAGTATTCTTTTATAACCTCAGTGAGGAACAACGCAAATAAGATTTTCTATTTGAATGGATAAAATTTAGAAGAAGACCAAGGGCAGTGAAGAGCTTAGAGCACTTCCACCAGTTAGCCCCTTGCCATGGCAAGGGGAGCCCTAGGGCGGATACTATTCACGTGAATAGTGGCTGCCCTAGCACCCAAAAAAAAATTGTGTTTCCAGCAGTGCAAGGCTTGCCATGGCAAATACTATTCATTTTTTTGTTTTTTTACAACTTTGTTTACTTAAACAATTAATTTGAATAATATTTTCGGATAAGAGTTTTGGGTTCCTACGTATGAAAAATCATTTTCTCAAGATTTTTAGCGGGGGTGCAATATTGAATAAGTATGAAAAATGGTTTTTTGAAATAATCATTTTCTCAAGAAAATTTTTGGCGGCTTTTATTCCTTACACATCAAATAAGAAAACTTGATTTTATGGGATTTTAATATGAAGTATATATTGACTTAATGAGCCATCATTTTTAGCCTAAATCGTATTT